TAGGGCTTGGCAAACATGACACAAACGATGAGAGAGAGAGAGAGAGAGAGGGAGGAGAGAAAGACAGACAGACAAAGAGAAACAAATACAGAGAGTGAGATAGAGAGAGAGATAAATAGAAAGTTTATGGTCTGTAATACTGTTACTAAATTAGAATGGTGACTTAGATCAACTGTAAATAAAAAATAAATTAAAATATTTGAATTGCCTCTTGTTGCGTCATTTCGCTCTAGTTTCTATTTCACGTTATTTTCCCTAAGTAAATGGCATAGCTAACCAAGTGTATGTAGTCCTCTACTTATAACATTCAAGTGATCGTTCAAATTTAAATCATAAGTGTGTATTATATTGATTTAATCAATGTGAAGTAAAATAGAAACTAACAAACGAAAACAATTAACTAATTAATATGCAAATGCGATTATGAATAGCCATTAAAGGTATATAACTACATTTTGTAGCGGACACACTCGGGGATGTGCGGAGTTCAATCACCCGATCAATATGCACCTGCTTGTAGTAAATCTGTGCAAAGGGTAAATGTATGAATTTGTATATAATATAAATTAAATATATGTACAGCATGTACGCTATATCATGATATACGACTCGTTGTATAAATCTTCCATTAAAAGGAAAGTCTGTCAATCCTTGTTTTCTCTTAACGAAAATTTATACATCTCGTGGTATATTATTGAAACAGAGTATATATATATATATATATATATATATATATATATATATATATATATATATATATATATATATATATATATATATATATATATATATATATACTTGCAAAAATGGTACTAACAGCTGCCTCGCTTGACGCTCAGAATTAAAATTAAAACGCTAGTGTTAGGACTGTAGGACTGATCGGCCTTGTGTCGGGATAATGTGACTGTGTGGGACATCATGCTACATGTCTGCGGCATGATGCCCCAGTGCTAGACATTACTACAAACTGGCACACTAGGACATAATATGAATATGCAAAGACGACAAAATTATAAATGACATAATTTCAGAAAATTTAAGAAAAAACAAAATTCATTTTGTCAGGTTCTTTTATATTTAATGCGTCTCATAGTGTGTATTTATACTTATGCTTAATGTGTTATAAATTATATCAAAGTAATCCAGACGTAACACAGTCGCTAGCTCTAGCAAAAATGTCGCGATTGTGTTTTAAAAGTATAGTTATGTGAAAATGATCTAGTAAGGAGAATCTCTATCATAAATCTAATAATTCGAGAAAAAAAAGACTCTCGAGAATGTTTAAACGCATATCATACAATTTGTAATGTACATCAAAGGAAAAGATTGGCTATTATTGTGATGTGATTATTGAAGTACATCAAAGGAAAATATTGGCTATTATTGTGATGTAATTATTGAAGTTTTGTTGTTGTTTTTTTTTTAAATTTTAGTGTTCTTAGTGTTTTTATTGCACTGTTTATCAAGACAATTCATGAGGCAAAACAATTAAATATAAACCGAATAATCTATATCTAGGTAACTGAACCATATATTCATTAAATTCTAACAACTAATGCAACCTTCGCAATACAGTGTATGCTTGCAGCTACATGCTGCTGTCATCACGTTTATAAGCGTTAGACTCAATAAGAGCTACGGTCGAAAAACTTCATTTTTCTGTTTAGATTGTTAAACAGTGGAAACTTTTCGACAAGATAAGTATAAAAGGATACTGGCTTAAGCAAGCATCGAAGTCCATAATTATATGCATCTCCTTGGTAAAAGAAGTTCTATCACAACCAGGATTCAAAGTGTCGACATGCATTGTAGTGTACTGACCTTGTGACCCTCTGTTGTCAGTGCCCCCTGCTCATAGAGTAGCAAAAGTGTATAAATTAGGACGTTTAAGGTCTAATTTCATTCCAGCAGATGCGATTTAAACGTATTTGATCTGGATACAGAAATAATATACAATTCTGTGGCGATATTGGACAGGTTACCTAGTGTTTTCCACATTTCACTTTGCTCTAGATATTTGAGCTGAAAGATAAACAGTAAATTTTCACACATCCCTCTCTCTCTCTCTCTCTCTCTCTCTCTCTCTCTCTCTCTCTCTCTCTCTCTCTCTCTCTCTCTCTCTCTCTCTCTCTCTCTCTCTCTATATATATATATATATATATATATATATATATAGAGAGAGAGAGAGAGAGAGAGAGAGAGTCTTAAGATGTTGTATGTATATTTATATATATTTATATACAGAGAGACAGGGCGAGAGACAGAGATAAAGAGACAGACAGACAGATAGGGGAAGATAGGGTGTGATAGTCTTAAGTGTTTAGTTTCTTCCTAACAGTTTAAATATCAGGATTAGAAGATCGATTTCAACATATGTAAAGTTAATTATTTATTTGCGTGCTTCATGCAATATGAATCGTGTGAAAAAAGTAGAACATACATTTTTGAAATTTATTACTATACAAATGCAAAGATCATGGTTTACTTCCTTGATTAGATGAAACTATAAGAAATTTGGCGTCATGACGTCTGAAATGTACAAGAATAGGTGGATATTTAACGATTTACTGCCACGATTTAAATAAACAAATAGGTTGTTCATGAAATAGAGTGATTCAATAATGATAGTTCTTAACAACAAACGACATTTGCAACAAAGTGCATTCAGTTAGATGAGAACCATACAATATCGCCTCAAACACAAATCTCAAAGCACATTTCATCGATATAATTTATACACAGAGAAATTGCTCGACACACTGGAAATATCTTCATAATTAAAGAAAACGTTTAATTTAAGACCTGAAAACAATAAAACATAGTTATATGGAAAACAAAGTTAATTTTGTCCCTATGAAAATTTATTTCTCAGCAGTAAACGATAAATTTGAATTTAGCTAATAGACTGGTAAAAAAAGATTAAATTTCGCACTTAATCAGAATTGTTAGCAACTTTAACTTTCAGAACAGAATGACTATACGAGTTTGATGGAGAAGCTCTTTTGTTTTTGCTTTTTTATATTTTTTTTGTCATTTGCATTTGACAAGAAAAGTAAACAACACATACTAATTTAATTTACTATTTACCGAGTATTATTTCACATGCTGCGGGAATTAGGGTATCATAATTTTAATGCATTTGACACAATCATTTGCATGGCTAATATTTTTAACTGCTTGCATGCATGTTGAGCAAGCCAACAGGTCAGGATTATCATTTTCAACAGCTGTCAGCCTATGGTATCTGTCGTTTTGCTAATCTGATTAAAATCAGATCTCCTCTGTCCTACAAGAAGATCTAACAGCGACTTCTTAATGGTCATGTTCTGCTAACCTATGTTATTACCATGATCACAAATTTTATTAACCAATCATATGAAATTTTATATATTCGCGTTTGTAGATTGAGCAGTGTGGATGAAGAGTATAATGTATACCTAATGGACTGATTCACTTTCAAATTTTTAAAGCTGCATTTCTATTGGTTTAATTTAAGGGTCACCAGACCATCAGCCTTAGGACAGCGGAGATTTTAATTAAATTCACATTTGGAAAAATCAGGTCGGTTCTAGGTTCAAGAGAAAACAATATCAGAGTGGTGGCTATTTAGTCTGAACCTTTCCTTGATTTCTTAAAACTTTAAAGACTAAGAATGGGAATTTACTTGAAACATTCCAAAACTTTATATTATACTTGCATTAAGGTTACATGTGTGACATTTCCTACTCTGAACTATTCCGGAACATTTCTACAGCGTTTGCTTTGGTGGAATTATGATTACGGTGATTCACTTTTGAGCAAATGATTGAACCCAACGTATTATTTCAATCGTTTTTACAGGAAAGGAAATTTACTCATTGTCAGGATAAGAACAAAATTTATTGAAACCGGTTGTCGCATAGCAGATATATTATACTGTTTAAAATCACTTCCCCATAACCTCAGCACCAGCTCTCCTCTGCTGTTTTCAGACTTTAAGCTTTTCGAATAATAGAAATCTCATTTCTTGAATATTGCTAAATTGTATTATGAAGTTAGCAAATACAGTGATTTTGTACTAATTTATTACTATTACCAAACAGAAATGTTTTGCAACAATTGAATGACCCATTTCGCAATATTAGGAAATTAGGTTAAAAAGAGCTCTTTAGATATCAGAAAATTAGTTTTGTGGACAACAATTTTATAGTACCATGAAGTTAATACCATGTACAAAAGCAGCATAGCCTGTTACGAAACTACATATGTTCGCATTCTTTTACAAATATACGATGATAGCTCGGCACGAGTTAACTCCCCTGCCACACGTCAAAAGAAGATTGTAGGTTCGGTACCAATGGTATGGAAAATAATGGGAACCAGCCTGGATATGGGTGAACATTTAATAGTGTATATATGGGATAGGCTGGCAAGGATTGGTTAATAATGTAAGTTATCTTTTAGGAAAAAGAATATTATCCTAGTTGTAAGTGAAAAAAAATAGAGACCTTGTTTATTGATGGAATTTCAGTCCTTTAACAGTCTTGAGTTTTGGAACGCTCATTACTAACATTATCACGTGACTCTTTGGTAGGAATTGAAAGCACATGTTTCAAACACATGCATGTCAAAAATTGCTGCGGCTCATATACTTTCTTCTACACAGAAACAGACATCCAGGTTTTATTTATACTGATAAATATAGGTTTGATCATGGGCACTTAGAAATTAAAGTCATTGAAATTTTTTAAATCATGCTGTTTGCATAGATTTACTACGGGAACTGAATTAGTAGAAAGAGTCATGTACGTAATGTTTTTGGTCTTTTTTTTAAAAAAAAAGACGCACATCAAACAATGAGAAACATAGGCAGCGTCTATTTTGTATGTCTTTTTATCGTAAATTTTTATTTAATAAAGATAGTAATGAATAATACATATAACAAACGAAATTTGGAACCAGGGGTAAAGGGTTGGGAAGAATCCATCAAGAAATATGAGGGTTGTATTAATCCTGAAATCGATCCGGTGGCCTAGTGGATAGAGCATCCGCCTCGGATACTCGAGGTTGCAGGTTCGAACCCTGACCAAGTCATACCAGAGACTTATAAAAGATGGTCCTAGCATCTGGCTCAATTAGCGCTAGGCATTAAGAGATTGGTCTTTGGACTGACTGACTGACATGGTGTCAGGACAATGTGACTGGGTGGGACCTGATGCTAAATGTCTGCGGCATGATGCTCCAGTGCTAGACATCACTATAAACTGCAACACTGTATACATCGCAGTGATTTGACCGAAAAATTATTAAAGTTACATTAAAAATCCAAAGTTACATTAAAATTCAAAATCACACAGACACACACGCACACACATACACACACCAGTACTTTTCAAGAACTAACATTCGTCACAATGAGTACATTTTTAAACCTCAACAATTAGATTACGTTTTGGCATCCTTTTCCATGCTCTCTTGACAGTAGTATATACAGAGTCATTAAGTCTGGTATCTGCATTCATCTTGATCAGGTTTACTCATATCTAGAAAATGTAGGTCACCGTGATCCAGTTCTCAAGATCTTTTTGTTACATTAAGCATTTTTTCTACATGTAGTTATCTTTACGGGTTGGAAGCCTAGACGTGACCCAAGGCACTTACATACTACTCTTCGGCATGGCGAAGTAACTCCCCAAAATGTAAAAAGCATAAGAACACAATCCTCCCAATTTTTTTTCTCAAATTGTTATGTGTATCTTCACGACATCTGTATGAATGCATTCACCTGGACATGTATTGCTCTCAGTTTGCGAAGTAATCACGACCGTATTAGAAAACGTTGTCCAGACAGTATTAGTAATAGTTGTCCAGACAGTATTAGCAGTAGTAGTCCAGACAGTATTAGCAGTAGTAGTCCAGACAGTATTAGCAATAGTAGTCCAGACAGTATTAGCAATGTAGTCCAGACAGTATCAGCAGTAGCAGTCTAGACAGTATTAGGAGTAGTAGTCCAGACAGTATTAGCAATAGTAGTCCAGTCAGTATTAGCAATAGTAATCCAGTCAGCATTAGCAATAGTAGTCCAGTCAGTATTAGCAAGTAGTCCAGACAATATTAGCAGTAGTAGTCCAGACAGTATTAGCAATAGTTGTACAGGCAGTATCAGCAATAGTAGTCCAGACAGTATTAGCAATTGTAGTCCAGATAGTATTAGCAGTAGCAGTCCAGACAGTATTAGGAGTAGTAGTCCAGACAGTATTAGCAGTAATAGTCCAGTCAGTATTAACAATATTAGTCCAGACAGTATTAGCAACAGTAGTCCAGACAGTATTAGCAGTAGTAATCCAGACAGTACTAACAATAGTAGTCCAGACAGATTTAGCAGTAGCAGTCCAGATAAAATTAGGAGTAGTAGTCCAGACAGTATTAGCATTAGTAGTCAAGACAGTATTAGCAATATTAGTCCAGACAGTATTAGCAATTGTAATCCAGACAGTATTAACAATATTAGTTCAGACAGTATTAGCAATAGTAGTCCAGACAGTATTAGCAGTAGCAGTCCAGACAGGATTAGGAGTAGTAGTCCAGACATCATTAGCAATATTAGTCCAGATAGTATTAGCAATAATAGTCCAGTCAGTATTAACAATAGTAGTCCAGATAGTATTAGCAGTAATAGTCCTATCTGGAAAAGGATAGTACCATAGTATCATCCCCCAAACCCAACCCCACAAGAAAAAGTATACAAAAATAATAGAGCCTTCCATGTAGTAGGAAACTAATAAAAATAGTACTTTTGACTTTCTTGAATATGGTAGGTGCATATAATAATAACTCTACAAATAAATTCGGTACCATGTGACCGAGAGTCCGTGGTTAGTTTACAGATTTATACGTTCTAATTTGTGTTATTGGCTTAAAGGGTCATTTGCAACCTTTTTCTTTAACGGGTACAGCTCTTTGAAGGGATTAGTCAGTTTTCATCGGTATGCTTTAACAGGTGCAGGTATTTGAAGAGATTATTCGGTTTTCTTCGATATAGATTAAGGATACATATCTTTGAAATGATTACTTGGTTTTCTTCGGTAACCTTTAACGGTACAGTTCTTTGAAGGGATTAGATGGTTTTCCTCGGTATGCTTTAACAGGTAAAGCTCATTTACGGGATTACTGTTTTCGTTAGTATACTTGAACGGATACAGCTCTTTGAAGGGATTATTTACTTATTGTTTACCAACAGAAAATTATATGCCTTTATGTAACATTGCAAGGAAATTATACTTCTTAAATCAGTTACTGTAATTCAGAAAGCGAACATGGCAGAGGTTTAAACCTTAATTATGCAGTAAATCCATATTGTAGAATACAATGCTGTCACTGGTCACGATTATATTTTCGTTTCTTTTCTAGCTTTGGCGTTTAGCTATCAAACATTTAAAAAATTCGAAACGTTATTGTTTGTATATATTGGAAATAGCAATATTTCCCGGGATGATGGAAGGGAGCTAAATCTTGCTGTAAACAGTAATTATTGGAAATAGGCATGAAAGATCCCTCGCCTACCATACAAATACTTATCATATTTAGATGTTTCCAACATTTCCACAGCTGAAACGAAAAGCTAAACCTGAATACCATGGAAACTACTTATCAGTACAGCGAACGTGCCTACAAATAAAATTATATCAGACAGACGGACAGGATGAGTAAGCATGTACCATTTGGCTTCAACATATCCATACAATTGAAATCATACTTACAAATAAATCCGAACATAGTTCTTCTTTTCGCAATGGGTAATGGTAAGGAAACGAAACATAATATAATAACTATAATACATGCGTTGATGTTCTGCTTATCAGATCTTTAAAAACAATTCGCGCACTCGAGCAATACAGTATATTTCTTACACTTTTTTAATGTTTACAAAAACAAAACAAACAAAAACAGAAATAAAAGAAAACAGAAAACCTGACAAAGATTGATCCACTCATTTTCGATTCAGCTTTCAAAGAATGAAGAACTTACGTGTGATTCCGATGAAATTTGTAATTATTTTTTTACATTTATTTGTTACCGAATTAAATATTATACTGGTCTGAAAAATGGTATACATTTTTATGTTTGAGTTAAAAACAAAACCAATGACTTTCATCAGCGTTCGTGTTCAGTTGTGTACATTAAGTGAAATCAGAAAAGATGCCTATATCTCTTAGAACAACATGTGCAAAACCAAGACACTAGTCGGACACTTAGGTACATGAATAATTAACATATATACAAGCAATTTTTTTTTATATGAGAGATTTTTTGCTAAATAGATATTTAAAGTTTACGTTTGAAACATGCATCTGTAATCCATGTTGATCAGCTTCATGATTTTTGAAGATTCATCGAAAGTGAATCTCATCTTTATATTAAGATACAAATTGTATGTAATTAAACGATTAAACAACTTCGACTTTAGCCTTATATATATATATATATATATATATATATATATATATATATATATATATATATATATATATATATATATATATATATATATATTCATAAATATATATATTCAAGAGTTTGTTTTCCAGCCGGCACTTGCTTGTAGAAAAGGATTTTGACCCTTTTTAACCTCTCTGACAACACGAGCATTTTTCTTCAAGCTCTGTTGTTGAACCGGTGTTTGATTAGAAGGATTTGTTAGAAATGAAGACCTCGTTTTTGATCTACTAGTTTTGATCTCACTTGCGGAATTTTGCGAAGCATATGACTCCGCGGAATGTGTACTCTTGGGTGTACTTGTTTTCACCTCTTGTTTGAGGCTGGCACTATGGGTAACAATGACGTCATGGGGACTTGGGGAATCAATGTCAGCTTCATTTCCATTTTCAATAATAATTTGTGAGATATTATCAAAGTTGTTTGTTTGATCACCATCAGGAATGAAGGAATCCCACATACTTTGTCTAGATTCTTCATGACCACTAACAACGGAAGCTGCACTCCCAAGATATGTAATCATGACCTTACGCATGCGCTCTGTATTTGTTTTAAGCAACGCCATGTTCTTTTCTATTCTTCGCTTTTCTTCCTTCTTTGCCTCGATAATAAATTGAAGTTCGTGAATTTTATCCTTTATGTCAGAGATAAAATAAATAAAACTTGGGCGGACTTCCATTTCAACCAAATAGTCCTCTTGCACTATTGATTTCTGGAATTCCATTAGTTTTAAATGATTATAAGTACGTGCTACCTCTTCATCCATCCTTTTCAGCTCTTCATACGTTTCTGCATATTCTTCACTCTCTCTTGTAAATGCTTGTATCTTTTTGACAACACCACTCTTGCATTCTTTCGCCTTTAAGTATTGATCCCCCGCGTTTGAGACCAGAGAGTCCATTCTTTGAAATGTCGAGGTCACTTCGTCAAAGCGATTTTCTCTTTTTTGTAAGCCCTCTAATTCTGTTGTATATTCCTGCATTTTTTGTTCATCCTTACTTATAGATATATCCATATCACTAAGTTGGTGTTTAAATTCCATAATTTGATGAATGAACTCTTTTGAAGTTGTTCTGTGCTGGTCCTCCTCAGCTTGAAGAGTCACAGGCGGCGTCTCTTTCTCCGCCGGTTGACGTGTTTTAGTTTTTGAAGGAATATCCTTTCTCACAGCGTTTGCTATTTGCATCCATTGTTTGGCAAGATCTATTGACTTGTAGCATTTAGCAAATATATCAGGTACAAGGCGAAGAATTGGTTCAAACTGAGAATAATCAACAAACTGTAGCAATTCGTGATAACTGTCAGGATCGAAGTCATTTAGATTTAAATCACCATCTTTCAGTAATCCGTCCCATTTCTTGCATATTTCAATTAGGTCACTCTTAACTTGTTCAAACTTTTTCGCCGTGGAGTCTTCACTAGTCTGAGCTTTGACCGATCCTTTTCTCTTTTTCGTTGATCCATGCAGTTGAACATATTTGGTATCGTTTTCTTCTGATTTGCCACGTGGTTTTGTCTTTACTTTAGGTTCTCTTTCATTATCTGCATTTTGGTCATAATAATATCTCTGCAAAGTATACATGAGCTCATCGTCAAAA